TTTTAGTTCTTTCTTCTTTTTGGATGAGTGTGTTTATTGCAATAAATTGTCCTCTCAGCACCACTTTTGCAGTGTCCCATAGATTTTGGTATGTTGTGTTTTCATTCTCATTTATTTCTAGAAATTTTGTGAATTCACATTTAATTTCGTCTATTACCCAGTCGCTTTTCAGCAGGGTGTTATTCAGTTTCCATGTATTTGACTTGATTTCCTTGGTCTTCCTATTGTTGATTTCTAATTTCGTAGCATTGTGATCTGAGAAGATGCGTTGTAGTATTTTGATATTTGTAAATTTCTGTAGATTTGTTTTGTGGCCTAAATCATGGTCTATTCTGGAGAATGTTCCATGTGCATGTGAGAAGAATGTGTATTGTGCAATTGTTGGGTTGAATGCTCTGTACACATCTATGAGGTCCAGTTGGCCGAGTTTGTTATTTATTTCTTCTGTGTCTTTGTCAAGTTTCTTTCTGGTTGTTCTATCCATTTTTGAAAGTGTAATATTAAAATCACCTACTGTTATTGTAGATTCATCTATTTCTTTCTTCAAGTCTATAAGAGTTTGTTTTATATATTTTTGCGCTCTTTCATTGGGATCATAGATATTTAATATGGTTATTTCATCTTGCTCTATTGTCCCTTTAATCATGATATAATGTCCATCTTTGTCTATTATGCTGGTTTTTGCCTTAAAGTTTATTTTATCCGAATTTAGTACTGCTACTCCTGTTTGTTTTTTATTGGAATTGGCTTGGTATATTTTTTCCCATCCTTTAACTTTTAATCTGTTTTTGTCCCTGTGTGTGAGATGTATCTCTTGCAGGCAGCATATTGAAGGATCTTGTTTTCTTATCCATTCTTCCACCCTCCGTCTCTTAGCAGGTGGATTTAATCCATTTACGTTCAGTGTAATTATCGATAGTTATTGATTAATTGCAGATATTACATTTGTTTTGTTTTTGTAGTGTTGTTGCTTCTTTGTTCTGTTTGTCTTTCTTTGTTGAGTTCAATTTTTGCATTCTTTCTTGTAAGTTTCCTCATGGTTTTAATGTTTTCATATTCTTCCTGGGTTTTCATTCTCTTGGTGTGCTGTGAAGTGTTAATTTTCATTGAGGATGCCTTATAGTCCATTAGCTTTTCTGACCATTTATTGCACACTATTTTATCCTATAATCGCCCTGACCTTCTCCCAATCTGGATCTCCTTTCCTATATGCTTACCTTCTTTTACATTGTACTTGTTTCGGTCATAAACTGACCTTCCAGAGTCTCTGAGTTTGTTCTTATAGTTTTGTTTTGTTACCAATTCTTCTTTCTGTTGACTTAATTCAGTGAGGTGCTGCCACGTATGTCAATCTCTGGTTGTTGCCTCTTCTTGTTGGTTCTCAGTCCACAGAACTCACTTTAGGATGTATTGTAGTGCAGGATTGGTTGATAAATTCCCATAGCTTCTGTGCATCCTGAAATGTTTTGATTACACCATCATATTTGATTGATACCTTTTCTGGATAAAGGATTCTTGGTTGGCAGTTTTTTTCTTCCAGGGTTTTATATATGTCTCTCCATTGCCTTCTTGCTTACATGGTTCCTGCTGAGAGATCTGAGATTAATATGACTTGCTTGCCTTTGTATGTGACGCTTCTGTTTTCTCTGGCTACTTTCAGAATTATCTCCTTATCTTTGAGTTTGGAGAGCTTGACTATGATATGTCTTGGTGATTTTCTTTTGGCGTCTGCTCTTCTTGGAGTTTGTTCAGCTTCTTGTATATTTATTTTTTTCCCTTTTCAGGATGTTGGAGAAATTTTCTTCCAGTAGTTCTTTGACTATTTCCTCTGTGGGCTTGCATGATTCTTCTCGTTCTGGAATGCCAATAATTCTTAAGTTATTCCTCTTCATGTTGTCCAACATGAATCTTATATCTTCCTCTGAATTTTTTTTATCTTTTTTTGTGTGTGTTTGTTCTTCTATCTTAGTTGTATTGAGAGTCTTGTCTTCCAGCTCGCTGATTCTTCCTTCTATCTCATCTAGTCTACTCCTCTGCCCTTTCAGAGTATTTTCTACTTCTGTCATTTTGTTTTTGATTGTTTGTACCTCTTTCTGTAGGATTTGCATTGTTTCTGATGCTGTATCTATCTTGTTTGATTGCTCTTGTAGCACTTTCCTGACTTCTTCCTTATTTTTCTCAACTCCACTGTAAAGTGTTTTGAAACATTTTATAATTTTCCTGAATTCTTTCTCAGGCCTTTCCAGGGCTTGCCCGCTTTCCAGAATGGAGTCCAGATCTACTTCTGGGTCATTTGTCTCAGATATTGTATCTTTTTTCTGGACGTGTCCTGATGTGGTCATCTGTTTTTGCTTCTTGGACATGTTCGATGCTTATCTGTGGCCCTAATACTTAAATGAGTATGTATTTTGGTACTTTTTTGTTGTTGTTGTTGTTTTATGCTTTCTGGTTT